TATTATATATATATATATATTATATATATATGTATATATATATATATATATATATATATATATATATATATTTATATATTTATGATATTGCATAAAAAATTTTTTCTTATTAAAATTTCAGGAAATTCAAATAAATTTAGAATTAAGAATTATCTTAAAAATAAATGAAAAAAATATTCTAAAACTTATAAAAATAACAAATAATAATTCAATTCCTATAATCGTGATTTATGGCGCATGTCATAGAATTTATCAACAATATATTATAAGAAAGTTATTGCATCAAATAATTGCTGTTACTGTAACATAAAATAGATATTATGAATTTATGGATCCTTTTTAGAATTATATAATGATTTTTTTAAGAATCAAGAAATTTATTTGCTAGAAAAGCTACGCATAGGCATATACATTTTTCTTATTAATAAAAAATTAATTATATTTGATCAACTTGTCAAATTTTTCCAAATAATTTATGTATTTTTATCTTTTCTTTTTATTTATGCACGTTTATCTCTTATCATTTTATTTTCTAAATATATTTCTATGTTGGATAGTAACTGCTCCGTTTATATAACAATATAATTAAAATATCATATAAATCTCTCTTTTTTGTGTATTAATCCAATAAATTATTAAAACAATAAATATACTTTTTATATTTTAATTTAAATTTTAAATCAAGTCAAATATGTTGTTATATATAAATAGGAATATTATCTTCTTCTTAAAAAAGAAGATACTACTTCTTATAATCTTGATTTATACTTGAATTTATATTGCTGCAAGTATTAATTTTGCTCAACTTAAGATTAACCTTCTATATGAAGATTATAATATTTTTTTTATTTATATATGAAAATATTTCTTGATTTGAGTTTAATTTTCTTGTGACTTTTCTATTGACTTATTAAATATAAGAGGTACATATTTATAATTATATTGTTATAAAAGCGAAGCACTTATCATTCAAGAAATGTATTTAGAAAATATATTTAGAAAAAGACATTTTCGATAATAGAAATATATAAATATAGAAATAAATAAGAAGAAAAGATAATACACATGAAAGATGAGATTAGTATAGATTAATAAAAGTAATAAGTTAATAAAGTATAGATTAATAAAAGATGAGACATGAAACTAACGAAAAGGTAACTACTAAAATTTTTAAATAATCACGCGCAAGTATATGTAACAGAAATTCGCACAATGAGATTTACCGAGATTTAATTTCTCGCAAAAGTTCTGTAGGTACGTAAGTAGAGGCTTAGTCTTAAATTCCAATATTTTTGATATATTATTTCCAATTTAACTAATTATTTCCAATTTAACAATTTAACAGACTTTCCGAAGTAGTGTGTATACAGCTCAGAAGGGATGCGAACAATGGAAAATGCTCCATCGCATCTTCATATGACAATTTGTTCATGAGTTTTCTGCTAATATTCGAGAAGATTAGCAAGAATTTTATGTTCGAGAATACACGATACATTTTAGACAAAAAGTTATCTTTGACTACCACTACTGAACCATTTGCGGATACGAAATTGTGGAGCGAAGTCTCAGATTCACCATATGAGAATATCGCACGTGGAAACGTAAATCGCAATTCTCAACAATTCATCTCTAAAGAATTCGAAGTCTCAGATTCACATATGAGAATATCGCATGTGGAAGCGTAAATCGCAATTCTCAACAATTCATCTCTAAAGAATTCGATCCCTTTTTGCAGACGCGACCAATGCCAAAAGCACGCCGCGAGGCACGTCGCGAACGAGGCCGAGTTGCCAAAAAAACCTTCTTCGATCGATTCAATTCCGACTATACTTTTACGACAAAAGAATCTGTTTTATTCGTTGGCGATCGTCACGAGCAGAAACATACGTAAGTTTAAATAATGTCTCATGGGGTCGTCACGATTGTACGTGCCCATATATTCTGTTAATGAATCAACAAGATTCATGATTTCGTCAGTAAAATTATTATCATTAAACACACGCGAATGTGACTAAGGAAAGTAGTTATAAATTTCTAAAGGTCTGTTCATGTATAATTTGATATCGACGAAAATTAGTAATATAAGATTAGCCGGAAGAAGTTCTGAATCAAATTCAACGAATTGCAGCGTTATACGCCTATTTATGCTGGCCTCTACGCAAGTTTTATTGTATCCCACAATGTTTTCTCCACTTAAGAATACTGTCCTCGGTGCAGATGTTGAACTTGAGCATGCTTTTGCGAAAAAAGTCTTCTAATATCCGGAAAATTGTAATATCGAGAGTTAAATCGTATAACATCAAAAACAGTGGCTCTCACAGATGTACATCAGCACAAGAATTTCGCCTGTAATATTGATAATAATTGTTATTATCTTCTTTTTTATCTAAACGAACAACACCATTAATACTAACAGGTGAGCCAAGATAATCGTCTAATTTGTTGTCGATCTTTTATTTATGCATAAAGAAGATCTCGTAAAACTCAATTCCTTATCAAGAGTCGTTAGCAAAATAACACAAATTCTTTTTTCTTTACTTACAATACAAGTCTGAAATACGTATTTTTGATTATTAAAATTGTTTATCTTAAAATTTATATGTCTACTAATAGTTTAATAAGAAGACGTTAGATAGTATATTTGTATTTAATTTTATAAATATTTCTAAGTAAATTATTTGACAAAATGTTACCTGTGATATAACAGCAAAATTTCTTAAAAATATTTAATATTGAAAATACCTTGTAAAATTAAATAAACCTTGTAAAATTAAGTAAATCACTTAACTAAAATAACTAAGCTATAGAATAATCGTTAATTTAGCTTATCACTTTCTTTAGGACAAAATATATTACGGACAAAACTTTTCTAAAACGATAATTATACTAACGCGAGAAATAAGAATTTTTTGTAACATCAATATAAATAAACTAAAGTGACATACAATCAAAATATAAGTAAATGTTTTCATATATTTAACTAATAATGTTGTAGCATTCGGTTTGTCTAAAGAATGATGGTTAAATTAAATACAATTTGTTATATTTCAAATACATGCTAAAGTTAAAAATTTATTGATTTTAGCATTATCACAATATTCTTAAATATATTTTAAAGAAGTACAAACTTTACACGAGCAATTTGTAACAAAAGAATATTCTTATATTCGATTCTTGAGTACATATTATAAAACTGTCCAGGAAAAATTAGATTATTGGAATTATTTCGTTTTTTTTTAAAAAGACAATAAAAATTTAGGAAATAATTAAACAATTGGAATCCATTCCGAATAGTAGTTTCGTACGTTCTTTGACGTATTGTGGAATTGTTCAGACATTCAGAGAAGACGTGATACAAAGATGCAAAATTACATTCTCGAATGTGATATTTTAAATAATAACATATTATTACAGTGTATATAACCTTATCAATATTTTAATTATTAAGGACATATTGATATACTTATAAAAAATTATATTCAAAGTTAAATATCTTGG